CCCAAATAAAACAACTACTTTGAGGTTAAAGTTTTTATGAAAATCAACTATTATTTTTGGCTGAGGGAAGTGAGGCCCCACACCTAACTCAATGGCGTTTCTATCTGTCTGTCTGTCCGTCTGTCTGTCTGCAATGTGATAAGTTTTGACAACCACATTCCATCAACTCCATTTCAAAGTATGTTTTAGGCATCAGTGGGCAGAAACTTCTGGATTTTGGTGAAAAATGGAAAACTATAAAAGCCTGATATGCACTAAGATCTCAGGATACAGGGTGAGGCAGTGACCTCAGGGTTGGGATTAGGGTTTAGGGTCAGGGTGCCCCTCATCCCCATCCAGCCATCGCCCTAGCCAGGTCACTTGTCCCCAGTCCTTCCAAACTCCTCCCCCACCGCTGATCTAGGGTGACCAGAGAATAAGTGTGAAAAATCAGGACAGGTGGTGGGGGGTAATAGGTGCCTATATAAGAAAAAGCCCCCAAAATCAGGACTGTCCCTATAAAATTGGGACATCTGGTCACCCTACGCTGATCCCACTCCCGTGCAGAACCTGTTGATTTTGGTGAAAACCAGAAACATGGAAAAATGGATTATAGTAGATTTTGGTTTTCCAATTGTTACCTAGCAGCTCTGTGTTCTTGGGCAACCAGGGTGCAGTACCCAGCCTGTCTGACTCACAAAAGACCTCCCCCTGCCCCCAGCCTCTGCTTGAAACAAAACCGATCAGAAGAAAGACTTACAAAAAGCAATGAAAAGTCATTGGGGACATACCTAAATCTCTGGGATAAGGGTGACAGGATTAAGGGAACTCCCCTTGCCTCATTTGCATCAAAGATGGGACAAGGAGGCATCTCCATTAGCATACAGACTGGAAAACAGAGATTCCAAGGCAAGAACCACAGGGAACTCTGGGACCAGAAAAGCAGGGAAGCAATGCATCATGGGGGATCTCTGCTCCCGATGTTAGTGAACCTATGCGTGCACACACCCAGCTCAGTGGTTATCAGACCAATTCTAGTAATAATTCCTTTATTGGTATCCAAAATAGTGAAGCTCCTTAATTGCATTGTGAGCTCCCTTGAAGGAACACTGCCCATAGCCAACTCCCATTGTCTAGCCTGAACAAAACACCTTTAGTATACTCCCTTGAGCCATCAGTTTACCCATAAACAAATCTAGTGTTCTCTTCCCCAAACCATTATTGTTTCCCTACAAACACCCCTATCCATACTCAAGTGAGTGTTCTGATGCCTGATCCAAAATCTGCATCAGTTCCACTTGGACTTCATCTTCTCCTGACTGATTGTGCTGGGGGCTCTGCCTGTCTCCAGCACTCCGGACCCTCAGCTACCACCATCACCTGCGACCCCCCGATCGATTCAACTGTCACGGAGTGGTGAGAACACACACACACTCTCTCTCTCTAGGTATAGCCTTCTGCAGGGGCGGCTCTATGTTTTCTGCCGCTCCAAGCACGGCAGTCAGGCGGCCTTTGGCACGCCTGAGGGTGGTCCGCTGGTCCCGCGGATTCGGTGGCGTTTCTGCGGGTGATCTGGCGGTCCCGCGCCTTCGGAGTGCCCGCTGCCAAATTACCGCCGAAGCCACGGGACCGGCGGACCTCCAGCAGGCATGCCACCGAAGGCTGTCTGACTGCCACCCTCATGGTGATCGGCAGGCCTCGCCCCGCGGCTTGCTGCCCCAGGCATGCGCTTGCTGCACTGGTGCCTGGAGCCGCCCCTGGCCGTCTGACCCTGACTTGTGTGATCAGTTATAGTTTTGTAAATCTGACTTTTATAATCAAGTTTAAGTTAGATTTATTATAACTGTTTGTTTGGCTCCCCTATGGTTATTACCTGGAAATAAATAACTTTCATGATTAAGCTGGTTGCTTCTCTCTCTCTCTCCCCCTTCCCCCTCCCCCTCCCACTCCCCCATGGATGTTTTTTGGTTTCCTCATTTGCTCTGTAGCACGTTCCTCGCACCTAAGCTAAAAGATCCCTGCAGCGCCCAAAAACCCTGTGGGGTTTGCTCATCAAGTGGGTTACTACCAGAACGACTGTAATATGAAAGTGGGGGTAGGGACATGCTGAACCTGGGACATATGAGTGTGGCAGATTGAAAGTGCTGCTCAACCCAGCCTGCTCAGGGTTACTCTGTTCCATGCGGTGCCCATGACATATGAGGGTGACAGCTTGGAAATGCTGCTCGACCCAGCCTGCTGAGTCCAGGGACATATAAGGGGTCAGCTTGGGAGTGCTGATTAACCCGGTCCTCTCAGACACGCTCTGGTAATGCGTATGTCTGTGTGTTCATTTGATTCTGGGGCTGGAAGAACTGAGCCCTGGGGAACCTAGGTCCTGCACGATAGCTCCATTGGGAGGGGACTTGTAGAAGGGAGAAGTAGAGCTCTGTATGAGAACACAAGTGACACAAGCAGCACATTGATAGAAGTACAGAACCCCCTGCCCCCAGAAGAGTAACCCTAATAAATGAGTGTACCCCAAAGTAGCGGGCAAGGCTGGTAACAATGCTCAAACACTGTGACAGGGTCACACTCATGAGTAAGTCTCACTCACTGAGCAGCAAACCACTGACCCAAACTCCCACTGGACTGCACTCAGAGCAGACGAGGGGCCCATAGGATTCAGCTTGTTACCCAGTAACTCACAGCCCAGGTCAGACCACAGCAGCCAGACCGGCCCCTCCCCCAGCTCAGAAAGTTCAGCAGCCTTGGCTAATGGGGGCTGGGGCAATGCTGAGCGGTGGCCACGCCATGCAGCCCTCACATGTCCCAGGAGAGAGGCACAGACGTGTCATCTGTTACCAGTCTGTGCTGCTCCCAGCACAATGGGCCCAGTCCAGGCCTCACAGCACCTGGGTCAGTGATACCCATTAACTCAGCCATGGAGGGGTCAGGATGTCAGAGTGATGGGGCCTGGTCAGACACCTGGGCAAGTACCAGCAGGTGGCTGTAAGTAGCAGGCAAACTGCCCAGCACTCAGCACATCAGCCTCCAGCTACCACACAGCTCCAAGCCTGTCAGCTGGGTGCATGCGTGTCCTGGGGTCCCAGGCTCTGTCCAGATCCCCAGGCACAATACAGCTGAATGTCCCAGTAGACTCCACTCACCTCCAAATTTCTTCAGCACTTCATTCATGTCAAGGGAAATTTTATACATGTCCTTCAGGTCAGTAGAGACAGCTTCTGGTTCCTGAAGTTTCACATTCTCACTCCTATGAAGAAAACATCCCATCATCACTCAGCTGCTCTGTACAGACATCATCCCAGAACCACCACCAAGAATATAAGAGCAATGAAAGTGGGAAACACACCTGCTCAATGTGCTTTTCACATCCTGAAAGGAAAAAGAGAATCAATGTTCTGTATTAACACAATGTGCATAAAGCTGAGGGAGTCTCGCTCTGCACATCAAACTTTCATCTAGAAAATGGATCAACCCTCCCAGGCTCCACTGTTTTGTGGTAAAATCTCACAAACCGTTTTGCATTAACACTTGTTTCATTTATGTAGGTGAGACAGGAATTTAGCTGAAGGTTTCTCCCTTCCAGGGACCCAACCCATCAGTATCTGTGTCTATCAAATGTGATGGGTCCAATGTTCTGGGGTCAGAGCTGGGATGGGTTTAGCTCCGTATCATTTTTGTATCATCCATTTAATCGCCCATGGCCTCACTGGGTCTCCATGAGGAGAATTCCCCTCAGACATGAACTGCGATACTTTGGAACTGCTGGAGCCCTTAGGCGGATGTTCTGTTTGTCAGTAAACCACAGAACACATTTACTCTAATTGTTGGAATCCAGACCCTGGGATCTGAGTTATAATTCTGGATGGGTGGAGAATTTTGATGCCGTCTCACCTTTAGCAGCTCGACAACTGGTTGCTGACACTTCTCCTCAATCTCTGTGATCAGCTGCTGCAGAGAGGAGCTTTGCTGGGAGAGTTTGGTGACATTTTCCTGTAGTCTCTGCAGAGTCGCCCTCTCCTCCTCCTCCAGGCTCTGCAGAAGCAGCTGCTCCTCCGCTCTCAGCAGTGTGTGCAGTTTGTTAAATTCACCTGCAATCGTCTCTCTCTTATTCTTCACTTTCCTCTTGAGACAGAAAAATAGGAAAGGCACAGAGAAAACGTGAGCCAGATGTTGAGTTACACGGACTGGGCCTCTCACCATGAATCAGGGGATATTAGATCAGGATCAGGTTTGTAAGGATATTTACTTCTTTGGGAAACGTACCATAAAGGGGTTGTTAATATGGCCAGTTCCATCACGGGGTTGTCCAGGGTTCGTTGTAAAGCTGCAGTATGTTATTGCGGGTGGCATGGGATGGACACAGTGGAGTGGGGAGAAATCGAGGGAATGGGAGAGATTTACATGGGGCTGCACAGGGTATTCATTGGGGGGGATTTGGGTGCCCAGTGTTGGGCACTCAGACACCCAGGGGAGCCATCGCAGCGGGATGTTGGAGATGCTCCTTCTTTGACAATCTGCTCCCAGGGCTGCAAAGTTCAGGACCTAGGGCTGGTGCTAATAGTCCTTTGGGTGCCAGCCTGGGACTCACGTGGGTGTTGGGCGCCCAGGGCATTGACAGGGCTGGCGTTGGCCTCACCTGCACTGGTCAAGTGCCCCATGCCCATGTGCCCAGTGCCCCTGGGATCGCAGCCTTTAGGGAGCCCTCTAGGCTCACAGAGTAGCGGGTTGCCCAGCTGTGTCCCCACCTGAAAGGAGCTGTGGGAACGATGCTGAGCCGGTGCTGATCCTGGATGGGGGAGGGGCTGGCTGCTCTGCACTGGCCTCTCTAGCTCCCCTGCAGCTCAGCGCAGAGGTGCTGGGTGACCCTGGGGTGAGCCTGCCCCCAGTGTGACTCGGGCCACAGTGATGTTGGGGAAAGTCCCCCTCACTCTTCCTGAGATGCCAACATGGCCAGAGGCTTCAGCAGCTTCCCCTCCCTTTGGAGGCAGGCTGCAGACCTGCTGCCTTTGGAGTCCTGCCAGCGCTCTGCTCACAGCCCTCACTCCCGCTCTTCTCCCGAAGCCTGCAGCACCCACTGCTTGCCACCCATCAGCTGTGTGGCGGGGCCCGGCCACTTGCTCCTCTCCACCCCTCCCCCATCACCTGCCCTTAAGGCAGGAGGGGGCAGAAAGGAGCAAGCGGCAGGCGAGGGGGCCTGGGGGGGGGAGAGGACTGAGCTGCAACAGTGAACGGTGAGTGGGGAGCCTCTGGGGAGGGGGCTGAGTGGGAGCAGGGCATGGGGCAGAGCAGGAGGGGAGCGTGGGCGGGGCCTCGGGGAGAGGAGGCCAAATGGGGGTGGAGCAATGGGCAGGGCGATGATCTGGGCGCAGAGGAGGTTCCGGCACTCATGCCCGGCCTCCCCAATGCCGGATGCATGCGCTACCCATGGCCGGCACCAAGCCTGTGCAATGGAGCAAACAACCAGAGCAGGTTCATAACCTCATCCTGGAGCTTTACGGCCTCGTCATTCCTGGGAGCTGCAGGGGGAAGGGCTCAGGGAGGAATAAACCCGGACACCCACCTGCCACTCTGTGGTTTTCTTCTCCTCTTTAAACGTCAGAGCCAGGACCTCTTCCAGCTCCTTCCTCAGAGGGCCCAGGGCTCCCTGGAGTTTCACCTGCAGGGGCATCGTGTGCGATAAACAGCCATTAGTCTGCCTGTCCGATGGGTGGACAGTACTGTCCATATTGGCATTTCATACACGAGCAGTAAAATACCCTGGAAGCGAGCAGCAGACTCGGCTCTGCCGGCCCCAAAGGCCTCATGGGAGCAGAGACGTCAGTCTCAGATAGGGTGACCAGATTGGCAGTAGAAAATATTGGGACGGGGGCGGAGCAAAAAAAAAGTTTTAAAGGGGCCTGGGGCATTAGCCCCGGCCCCACACGCTGCCCTCCCCACGGAGCCTCCCGCCCCCTGGCCCTCCTCAGGCATATGCGGGGCGCGGTGGGTCTGTGCGGGGGCAGCACGGAGCGGACAGTTGCCTGGTGGGCGGCGCGAGCTGAATCCCCGCTGCTGCCAGGGAGCCCCGTGCCTCTCCCTCCCGCTCGCGGCTGTGGCTCCTTCCCGGCGGCGCGCGTCCCGCTGCCCCGGGTACATGTGGCACGCGTCCCCCGCATCTAGTCTCCCTCCCGCCGGGAAGGAGCCGCTGGACAGCGCGCCGCATGTGCCCGGGGCAGGCCGGGGGGGGCGCGTCCTGCCAGGAAGGAGCCGTAGCCGTGAGCGGGAGGGAGAGGCACGGGGCTCCCCGGCAGCAGCAGGGATTAGGCCCACGCCCCCGCTCTGCCCACCGGGCCCCTGCCCGCTCCGCGCTGCCCCCGACCGGACCCACCGCACTGCCCCGTGGGCTGCAGGGCTGGAGCAGCCTCCAGGCTGCGCTCCCGGCCCCGGGTGCAGCAGCCCGGGCAGAAGCCCTCTGGTGTGGTGGGGGGGTTCACAGCCCCCCTTTGCCCTCCCTTGCCAGCCCCCCTTTGCCCGCCCGGTGCCCGGGTGCCGGAGCTGACTCACCAGCTCCAGGATCCAGGCACCGCCGCCACCCCCTCCCTCCAGGCTTGCGCCACCATGCTGCAAGCCTGGGAGGGAGGAGGAATGCTGCGTGGTTGGGGAAGAGGCGGGGCCAGGGCGGGAATTTGGGGAGGGAGCCAATGGGGGAAGGAGGGGGCAGAGCCAGGGCGGGGGGGGGAAGGCGCGGGCACGAGCGCCAGAGGGGAGGACAAAATTTCTTTTTTGTCCAGTGTCCCGACCAAACAAAGGACAAAGAAGCAAATATCGGGACAGTCCCGATAAAATCGGGACATCTGGTCACCCTAGTCTCAGAGCAGGGGCCCTGCTTCCTGCAGACACTCAGGACTTCTCAGAGCCTGTGTTTGAGCTAAAGCTTCACATCACCGAGCACAGGCCAGAGGGGAAACAGCTGGGAAGGTTCTGAACGATTCCTCCTGCCAGTGAGAGTGAAGAGGTTGGGACAGCACCTCGCTGCCCTGTGCCCAGACCCAGGCCAGGAACAAGACCCCACTGTGCTCTCATCTGTCCAGGCTCCCATGTGGCCTCCCTCAGGCAGCAGCTGAGCACCGGAGCCAGCGCAGTCCCATGAACTGTACAGGGTGAAGCTGTGATGTGGCTGGAGGTCAGTGAGGAACAGGGAACACTCTCGGTTTGGGGGAATGAGCCTCCCATAATTAT